TTTTAGAACTTATGATTCTATATATAAAAAGTTTTTACTTGAACATTATATAAATAAATAAAAAAAAAAAAAAAAAAGAAATACTAGTCTGTTAAAAAATTTTGGGCTCATACAAGTTCTTTTAGAACCTATAATGCTTCCACAGTCTGAAAATAACCTTTTAAATAGTGTTGATATAACTGAAATAAAGAGGTATATATATGTGCTAATTCTCTTATTATGGAGAATCTTTTCTTATAAACCTTTCATCAGGCCAATAGAGCAGATATAAAAAGTATTTGTGAGACTGCAAGATATTCATCAAATTCATTCTGTGAATTAATAGTTGGCAGATTATTAAATATATTAAAAAGTTTAGATTTATAAAGAGTAGTTAATATTGAATTAGAAAAAAATATATCTAATAGATTTTGTGCTAAAGCTGTAATTGTAAAACTGTAGTTTGTAAAAGCATAATTGCTGAAGCTATAGTTGACTAAAGCTATAGTTATTGAAGCCATAGTTGTTGAAACTATAGTTGTTAAAGCTGTACTTGAATTTACTATTTAAATTATTTTTAATTTATAATATTTATCTTCAATAATTTTTGAATTTTATTTGTCCTATTAGGTGCAAATTCCATTTTTTTAATATGTAAATTAAGAGGTAAATATGACATATTATTATCTTTTTTCTAGTAAAAAAGTATTACATAATATAGTATTTCTTTTATTCTTTTTAAGGCATCTGAAGTTTGCATAGGCTTATCTAAATCTGTTCTTTTTTGTTTATTTTTATCAATTGTTACAAAAATATCTTCTATTTTTTTAATATTTATTTTATTTGTTAATAATGTAGGTTTAAGTATCTTTATAATTTCAGATATTAAAGGATTTATTATATTTTTAGTAGTATAGTTACTACTACCAAGATACCAAGTTGTTTCTTTAAAAAGACCTAAAACTGAAATTAGGTTACAAAGCAAATCTTATTCATTATTTATTAGCATTATATTAGTTAATTGTTGAAAATCTTTTTTACTATTATGATTGTTGTCTTTAGCTAAATTAATTTCAAGTATATAAATATACTCTTTCAATTTTAAAAGTTTATACCAAGCTCAGCTGGGCAGAAGAAGAAAAAATCACAATATTGGGAATTACGGAAATAAATCTTACAGAAAGAGAAGGAAAATTTTTAACACACACAGCAAATAAAAGATATATAGGGTTTTGGACAAGTTCAGCAGAGGACAAGAAGAAAGGATCTGGTGTTGGAATTATGGTAGATGAACAATGGGAAAAGCATGTAGGTGCTGTTAAGAAAATAAGTGAATATATGATAAAGATTACACTATATTTCAAACAATTAGAGTTAGTAGTGATAGCAGTCTATATACCACCAAATGACAAAATAGCAGGGAAAAACATTTAGCAAAAAATTGTGGAAACGGTCACAAAGAGGAAAAGACAAACACAAATCATTATAATGGGTGACTTTAATCATACAGTAAACAACATTCTAGATAGACAACACCCACAAACAATAAACTACAAAAGGCTGCCGATTTTTCATTGGATGAAGAATCAAGACTTTAAAGACACGTATAGAGATATAAACCCAATAAGTCAACAATATACATAGTCAAATGGAGAAGCAGCAACAAGAATTGATTACATATAGATTTCAGAAGGACTGGCCACAGGATTACAAAAAGCAGAAATCGAAGAAGTAGAAGAAATTACAGAAAGTGATCACAAAATAGTAATAGTAGAGATATGGATAAAGCATTTAGTAACAGGAAAAAGCAAGGCAGAGGTTAAAAGAAAGAAACAATTAAGAACAATATACTTGTATGATCAAGCAAGACCAGAAGACTGAGAAAATTATGTACAGGAATTACAAAACTGATTAGAAAAAAAAGAAGTATTAAGAAACATTCACAAAAAGAAGCAAGATAAAGAAAGAAAGACAAAGAAAATAAACAACATATAGAACATAATAGAAGAAGCAATCATTACAGCAGCAAGTAAACATATACTAAAGAAAAAAGTATACAATACAACAGCAAATAAAAGGAGAAGTTCTAGAGAAAAACAACAAGAAGAAAGCATCGTTAAGCTCCAAAAACTAATAAAGTATATGAAAACAAAAAGAATCTAAGCAGTAACAGAAGAAAAAAGAATTAAAATAAATGAGCAGTTAAAAACACTAGGCAAGGAAATTGGTGCAAAGTTACCACAAATACAAAGACAATGGTCAAATGCATGGATAGAAGACATGAAGGGTTGGAAAAAGATATTATTAGAAAGAAAGAAAAAAGAATGGAAATGAACACAAAGGAAACAAATAGAATAGAATATAGACAAAAGATGCGAAATGATCAGAACAGATCAGAGAAAGATGATAGCAAGTCTCTTAAATAGACTGTATAAGAAAATAATACTCGACAGGTTTATTGAACAAGTAGAAAAAGAAACAAACCTGCGAACAAGTCCAGAAGAGGTCAGAAGAGGAGTAGCAGAACACTACAAGAAACAATTTAGAAAAAGAAATACAAAACTAG